GCCGGGCCAGGATTTAAGAACAGATATTCTGGGTTCAGACCCTTACTCTGATCACAACACAGTGCGTGCCTCTCACAAGCCACACAAAGCCAGACCCAAAACAACGCATGCTTGGCCATAGTACAGATTTCTACCCACAGACTACCTAAAGCTCCTGCCCTTACTGGTGAAACCAAAAATCCCTGCACAGAAAAGCTCAATCACATCTCTGTCCCTAAAAGCTTCACAGAGCAGACAATATTATCACTCACTGGCTGAAACCTTGCCTTCCTTTAAAACTTCTCCTACTTCGCCTTGCTTGAAAGTCACGACTGTGGGCAAGATCTGTTTTTAAAGTTTGCACACAATACTACTTAAATATTGATCTCCTCAAGTGATCACAGTCTAAAATAAATCTCTAACATGAATTCCCAGGAGGCGTATTTCTACAACACAACGCAGTGGAGGATGTGAACAATCTGCAGTATGATCAGGTGGCTAATATGGAGGAGAGGGACAACAGGTAGCCACCAGGGAGGAGAAAGATGCACCAGCATGGTGGATCATCCATCAGAAATAAATAAAACCCAGAACAGACCAAAGAGTCAAGACATCTCAAGACAAGAAAAGTAGATGTTCTCACAACCAAGAAGAAAAGGTAATTATATGAATAAAAAAGGAACACAATCTCAGCGGATCTCTGATTTCCAAAGAGGCATAAATTCGTTCCTCTTCCTCCAGGCCCTCTTAGAAACCTGGCAGCACTGCGGGAAATCAGGAGATGCCAGCATTTCTCTGGGCACAAACAGACTTATTGCAAAAGAAGGGGCTAGGGATATAGCTCAGTGGCACAACGGCCTCCCTGGCAAGTGCAAGGTCCTGAGTTCGATTCCTGGAACCAGAAAAAAAAATTAATTCAATTGTAAAAGAAACAAAAATACCTAGGGCCACATCCGTCTTCATCCACACAATCACAAAGGCAAATGGAGACCGTATCTTGAGTTGAACAGCAACTCTCAGGGATAGCGATCCAGCTGCAGTGACTCTGAAACATGTATCTGGCTCCTAAGGAGCTCCTAGAGCCGCCTTTCCCAGAAATCCTACCCCTAGATCCTCCTCTTCCCGTCTTTCCAGGAGTTTGTCATGAATACCCTTTCAGATCAGAAGTTCTCGTCCTTGCTTGAACCCTACGTTCTAGGGCAGTATGGCGAATCTTTTAGAGTTTTCAATGATACAAATAGCCCGCTGCTGCAAGCCTCCCCTACATGCACCCACTACTGCCCTAGGGCTTAACAGAGAAGTCTTTCTTGGGGTCATATAACCGTGGCAGGCCCAAAGACAGCCTCGAGATAGCCTTCAGCACAGGGCCAAAGTAAACCACATCTACCAATAAGACCACACACTCCCAACCGCACCCACCATCACACGCCATCTGTCACACACTGTGCCGCTCGGTCGCTCGCACTGGACACGGTACGCGCTGCGCCGGCCTTTTTACCACCACCGCCTCCCGGGGTCCCCACCATCCTCACTGACAGTTCTGACCTGGCTCGGTTAGGGACTTCTGAGCCCTCCTACCCTCAACCTGCGCCGCTGACTCCCTCGGACGCGACAAACTCACCTCTCGTCCAAGAACTCGAGGGCAGTGGAAAAGGACCCCAGAGTCCGACGTGTGTGTGGATACGGAGGCTAATGGGAAACGAGAGCGGGGGAAAATACTGCATAGCCGGGAACCTGGTCCTAGAAAACGCCCTCCGCCTGCAAACTCGCCCAGTGCCCAAAAGCGCTGCGCTCCGGAGACTTCTGGGAAACGTAGTTCGTACCCGAAGGCTTCTGGGAAATGTAGTCATAGCCGGGGCATCTTCGGAAGTTGGCACTCGGAGTTCCGAAATGTTCCCAGCTCGAGAGCTCGATTTGTTCTGTTAGGTCAAAAGCATTTTTTTTTTTTTTTCCGAATCCGATCAGAACGCCTAGTCTTTGCTGAAGAAAGCAGTAGCTTGGGCGAGCCAGTCAGCTCGGTTGTCTGATGTGGCTGAGAACGGATTCAGAGGTTCTCAGCAAAGGCTGAGGAATGCGTCCTGGAGTTCAGAGAAGGCGGAGATGGGAATGAGGGTGTTGGAGGACACCAACTTGAGCAAATAGGAGCATCCCTGGGGCAGTCCGTAGGAATCATCCTGATGGAGACCTCAAGACTACCTGGTGGCTCAAGAGGAA